CACACACACACACACACACACACACACACACACACACACACACACACACACACACACACGCAAATAAAATTGCAAGAAACAAAATCATCTTAAACCCCCAATTTTTTCCCCCACAATCATTTGCGAAGCTCCATAAAATCCACATAAATATCATTGCACATACAATACCATGACAATAAGCTACAGGCAGTAATCTAACAATTAGCTTTACTAGCAACCAGGTCACAACTGCAAGATGTTTGAGCAGCTTACATTTATTTTCATGTAATTTAATTGGCAACTTGTCATATCTGACATCTAAAGGTAAAATTATTCCAGACCATAGACGATGCCAGATGCTTGACATTTTTCAGTACTTTACCCATGCTTTGCCTGCTATCAAAGCACTGACCTTATAATTTGTGCGCAGTCTATCACCTGAGACACAGCTGACATTTTCTTCCAGAAGACCCTTACATTCCTACAGTTTTAGTCCAAAACCATTCCCTGCCCTGCATCTGAGTCGTCTTTTGTTAGATGTTGAGCATTTCTACCCATTAGAAATCACACGAGTTTTATCTCTGTGGCTGTAAGCAGCCTTATCCTTAAAAGAGTACAGACACACACACACAGTATATCTGTGTTTTCATGTCTAAAATAATCTTTTACGTTTGCAGGTACATCCCATTAGGGAAACACTGCACACTTTATTACAGGTTTGGTATTACAGGTTCTCCTCTTATGAAATATTCAGTAAATCATAAAAATATGACAAAAGCAGAAAGATTGCCAAACACAATTGCTGTCATGTTTCTTCCCTCTCAGTAGAGCTGCCTTTCAGCCTCTGTATTTGCAGACTGGCCCCTGTCATTCCCTGTTATCACTCTCAATGAATGCTATCTTTGAGGCAGGTGTGGGCAGGAATGGCTTTTGGCAAAGGAAACCAGCAGACCTTGAGCACTATATTTGGATTTTACTAACATGTTTTATCATTTTCATGCCTACAGAAAGCAAAGCTAAACTACCACTTCTCATATTATGCTAAATAAAAATAGGATACACCATGACCTGCAGGCTTAAACAATATCAGTCAAACAATCACAGAAAACAAGGACATCAATGAAACCTACTTTGACCTACGACTACAGATCATTTATGCTTCAAAGTATGTGTGATTTTTCCCTGCCAATGTGCAGACTGCTCAATAACACTGTGTGGAATGATGAACACGGGTGAATCCAGTTACTGCAGAGCTGAATCCATAAAATATGTCATCCAAAAAAACAGTTTACAGTAAGATGTCTGCAATATCCAACAGTCATTTACAGCAAAGCAGTGTTTCCATGGCTTGGAATGAACATCTGTATGTGCATGCCAATGTTGCTGCTTTATCCCTAAAATGTAAGAGAAAAAGAAAAGAGAAAACACGACAGAAGACATGTTTACCTTTTATTAAAAGGATTTTCACCATTGATTATGTGAGTCGATTCAGGCCCAACTAGAAAGTGAATGCGCTGGTAGAAAGATCTGGCAGCCTAAGAAAAGCAAAATAAATAAATGGGTAATCTGATGCTGAAAGGTGTCGTCATTTTGTGCCGTCGATTTCTGACGGGATCTTCTTACCTGTTGAGGAGGCACTGAGGATGGAGACTGGCTGAGCACCTCGCCTGGGTCAGGTGACCCTTTGCAGTACAGCTGATTCTGACAGGAAGGCTGCAGACAGCAGTCTGGATCCATGCAGTCAGCCAAGCCATCTGAAACATGCACAAGCCCTACAGTCACAAAGCTAGCACAGAGTTGGGGAAAACATAGTCGTTTAAAAGCTTTACATGTGAAATCTAATGAACAGCTTAACATGTTTCAGTTCATAGCAAACAAAGGCAGCAGAGCATTAGCTGCAACAGCTACATAAACAATTTGTTCAGTCTTTCAGGCAGAGGTTTCAATGACCAACAGACGGAAATGTACTAATGCACGTTTAAAATCTGCAGCATTTATATGATTTTATAAACTCTGGTAAGGTTCCTGGAGCCCTTTATATTTTGCATCCAAAAAGCCAGACTTCCTTGTAATTTTTTGAAGTGGTCTTAACCAGCAGGTCTTCAGTGCTTCTGAAAGCTTTTCAATTTTTTCTGCAGACAGCGGCTCCTTTATCACTCAGCTTTAGTGCTGTCCTCATGCGTACGGAGGAGGAGCCGCGCAACAGCGAGTGTCTACAGCCATCAGTGAAACATAGTGGACGCTCTGTCACATTTTCAGGCTGTACTTTAGCCAGTGATGTCTGTCAAACCTGATGGAATTATAAATGCAGGAAAATACGATCAGGTTTTGATCCACCATGCAGCCGATGCAGCATGTGTGCACGTACAGAGAGACAAAGAAGGTGAGACAAGAAGAGCGACAGAGACAAATACTGTCAGCTGATAGGCTAGAATAATATTTAAAACTTTTACTGTCTCAGAGGTTTTGCTTTAACAATATTATTGTTGTTGTGTCCAGATTGAAACACACAGACAGATAAGATTAGGTCAGACGAGTTAAACGTGTCGAAGGGAGGAATAAGGAGAGCAAGTAAGGAGTCGGGACAGATGGAGGAGTGCAAGGTAACAAAATCGTTTGTCTCCATTAGTTGATAAAAGCCACGTGTACATTCTGCATACAGTGACATTAAAAACACACACTGACTGACAAAGCAGTCCTCTGATTTCTCTTCCTTTCTTTTCTGTTAACATAGTGATCAAATTAAAAGTAGTCCCAGCTGTGTCACTGGCACAGTGCATATGTTGCTGGATAAAACAGCTGTTAGCTGACATATGTAATGCCTACAAAAGATCCAGTTCCCAGTAGTGTTGGTGCACCTTTCTACTGCACTGTCACAATAAGTTTCAGCATGCATAGATCAACGCTGAAGTAAATCAATCACAAGGTCGAACCATCTTAAAGCGCATCCTGATTTATCATTTTTCTAAACACTAATGGAGACCAGATTTGAAAAATGACAAAAAAGTAAAAATACTAGAGAGAGTGCAGGTTAGAGGCACTCAGACGTTCAGGCAGCCGTGCCCAGCCTTTACACTTTACTGGAACACAGCACATGAGTGTCTGCCCAGCAGGCAGCAGCACAGTCACCACCTCATCATTTATTCATCATCAGGCATTACTTTGAGCACCCATACATACACAGGCAAAGTAAGTAAGTACTCTTTTGTACTTACTCTCTCCCACTCTAACACAGTGTTGTTATCAGCTCTTGAAGTGATTGGATGGTACAAACTGATGTGTCATTTTTCCTCGGACCCCTGCAAATTAATGCGTGTGGGAGGGGAGGGGTTTTGAGGGGGTGTTGCACTCACCTGTGCTTTTCAAAGTAATCTCCGACCACTTTCTAAAGCACCTGTCCACTGTTCATTTCTTCCTAATGTCTGTCTTTGTAGTCGTGGGAGGACGTTTGGATTATTGTGTCGCTAACATTTAATATTCTCCTTATCCTGTGTTCATTCAGCCGTCAAACAAATCTGTTCATACATTTAACCATCTGTCTCCCCACTTTTAGTGTATCTACACAAACATACCTCCTTCGTTGTCCTTGCTGTCGGTACATAGTGTTTCCATGGCAACGTGGCACCCCGCCCCTCTCCATCCCGACTGGCAGATGCAGTGCCATCCGCTGGCCTCCAAGGTGCATCGTCCATTGTTATTGCAGAGACCTGGACAACCCTCTGGGCACAGGGGACAAGCACAGTTAGAAAAGTCACAGCAGTGGGAATAAAGGAGGGGACCATGATGACCGTCAGGGTGAAGACAGGCTTAAACCTATATACGTCTTTGAAGTGAGGTGATGATATTTTTGTACTGAATTGCTGTGAGAGGAGATCATTATTATTTATTTAATTTAGGGCCACGTTCATGCTAAAAACGATACATATTCGGAGTTTCCCTCTTGACTTGGAAAAACCTCTGAAACAGCACCGAGACCATGATGGGACGAAAAAGTCAAAAACAGCCAGAGGGGCACTGGAGGCCCCCACAGGACTGAGGCTGGACTCTGCTGCACCACACTGAGCTGACTCTTCAATTCAAACATCTGACAAAACCCACCAACAAGCAAAAAATACACACATGGGCTACAATAAATATTCATCCAAAAGGATCAAATAGAAAAAATAAACAGGACTTAATTTTGGTTAAGCTGGCCTTTGGATTCTGATAGGGCCGAGACTGGGCTGGATCGGTGCTACAGCCAAAATCGATCTGTTTCATTCAACAAATGTTTATACCAGCTGTCAGTTTAGAACATTTTAGAAAACATCCCATCATAGTATAAATGCGGTTTCAGATGCTATTCAGAAATGATTCTAACAGACATAAAAGGTTGTTGGTGTAAAATAGAAATGCACAGAATGCAACGATTTCCAATCATTTAAACTAGAAAGTAGGAGTGGGCGATATAAACGACATACGATAGAAACGATATAAATTTGGCCAACGATAGAGATTTTGACTATACCGCTCTATCGCGATAGCGCATGTTGATGATGTCATCAAACTGCGCCTGTTTTGGTTGAAAGCATCGCAGCGGCTAAAACCATTATCATCTGCAAATTATGGTGGGCAACGGTCACAGCAAAGAGATGAAGCACTTTTGAAATATGGGGAAAGCCAAAAACTGCTCTTCCTCCACTTTCATAACATTGATTCATTAATGTTGAATCCTCTCGCAGCTGCTCTGTTCCCATGTTGTTGCAGTATATTAATAACTAACCTCGTATTGTGGATGAATGATCTCAGTTGTTCTCCTGACTGAAGTTTGCCCCGTGTACAGCATCCTGCTATGCGATTGCATTTGTCCCAAACCACCAGAATCCGTCATGTTAACTTTTATCGAGTGGAAGAAAAGTTGGCGTTCATCCTCCAGCTTCAGTGTGCTAATGTTATGCTAACATAGCTGTGTCGCTAGCAACCACGTAGCACAACATTATATACCAGCTAGTCCAACTTCAGTAACCCTGCAAACGCCACTGCTGTTTAGTTTTCTGTCTTCATTTATGTTGGAAGTGGTAGCAGAGCTGAACGTTTGAATTAGTTTCAAAAATCTCTCAGTCAGAACATGCTATGAAATGTTTAGGTGGAAACTAGCGAGCTAACTTCTAACTCCGTTAAATTTAAATTCTGTTTTCATGGATGCCTGGATGTTAAACTTAATTGTTACACCTGGTAAAGCAGCAACGCTGATGATTTTATTAAAGATGAAAGAATTTATACCGTTTTTAACTCTCAGTGTTCCTTTGACTTTGGGACCTGAGGGGACAGAGTTTAGGACCCAGATTACTCCGCAAAGCTCCTCACTACGGCAGCCGTAATGCTCTGACAATCCATCAAGCAGTGCAGCTTATCAAAGTTGTACTAAAACATTTTTAACAGATTTCTGCAGCCCAAATTGGTTCGAGGTCAGTAAGCACAACCAGAATTCATACATGAGGCACACTCTCGATTTTTGAGAAAATTAAAGGATTTTAAGTCCTTATAGTGTGGAAAATACGTTATACAGAAGAAGAGAATATATCGTGATGTATATCGTCAGGCTCAGTGTAAGATACAGAGGATCTGCATTCTTCCTATTAAAAGATTTTATTCAGATAAATTCTGTATTGATGGGACCGTATTTGAGGCTTTGGGCAAGACTTCTAAAATCACTGTTACTGGACACGTGAAATGCAGCTGCGTCCTTGAGGCTAAGGTTCAAATAGCAGCAGGTGATGATACTGTGGTGCATTAGTACACTAAGGCCACTAGATGACATCAAGGTAACTTCATCGTTTTTTCCCCAAAACAATAGTTTGTTTCAACATTTGCCACGTTTGTTGTGTGTGTTTGTACTATTTTCACTCTAAATTCTTTTGGAAATAATTGCACTCCGTCTTAACGTACATTTTCCAAAACTTTAAAAAGTTTATCTTCTCTCTCTCAGCAACTTCAGTACAAAAGTACCAGGCTTCAAAAACCCACACTGGTTAAATTCAGATGTGTATAAAGGCATTCAGCCCCGTTCGATGGACATTTCTCCAATTAATGGACTCACAGACTGACACACAAATAAAACAGTTAATTACAGTAGCCCACATGTGAGAGACACAGACTGGCAGACAGACAGACAGTCAACCTTTGGTGAAATGCACTGATGTTGTACTTTCACATGAACTGCTAGAACTGCCAGCAGCCAAAATGGCCACGGCGTGCTGCTCGGCTTTAATTAGTGCAAAATGAGAAGTTTTCTTTTCATCTGCGAACAAAGAAAAAGAAATGTTGCATAATAGGAAACAGGCCACAGAAACAAACCAAATGAATAAAGGCAAACGAAAAAAGTCTCAACATGTCAAACTGAAGGGTTTGTCTGTCAGAGGAAATGACATCAGAGGGAATTTTAACACCCAGTGAACTGACAAAGACTGAAATTTCCATTCAACAGGATGCTTGTTTCAGAAATATGGATTCATCTGTGCTCGTTCTTCTCGTCAGGCAAAGAAATAACGCAGCGAGTTTAAATCCATGTGAAAACACAACAGGTAGACATAAAGGCAGAGCACAAAGTATAGGGAGGACTGCGCGCTCCACAGACTATACTTTATGCCTCTGTTTGGCATTCCTCATTCACAAAATCGACAGTGAGGCTGGCAATCAGATAGGCTGATTATAACAGTGAGAACCAGAACCAAGCAAAGCCCAGAACAAGGAATGGAGATAAAGACTGGGGGGGAGGAAAGTGAAGACAGATCGAAGACAGGAGGACAGCAACTGGCTTATTTAACACATATATCAGGCTTGTGGATGCAAGACGAAACAGGAGTCGCACACCTTTGCTTTATGACTGTGCGTGCACTTTTTATTTGTATTCACTGCTCTCGTGTGAATCTATCTATGGTCTGTTTCGTGTGTGAGAGTCAGAGACAGGAAAAGGAATGACCAGAAAAAAACACAGAAATAGAATATACGACAATACAAGTCTAGATAAACCGAGCACTGAGAATGACTGGAAAACAGTGAGCGAAAGGAAAAGACAAAACCTAAAACGAAATGGAGTTAACCAAAAATATGTTATAAAGCAGAGTGTGAAGTCATTGTATTCTGGGACAGTAAGGCCTTTATTGTTCTTTAGCAGGAGTTACCTTTATATCCTGAGAATAGGAGAGGGCACGAGGGAGAGAGGGAGGAAAATTAGGGAGAAAAGTAAAGTGAAACAAAACCAGCACTGCCAAATATTTATTCTGTGATCGATAAATGAAGATGGCAACCAAAGGAAGAGGAGGCAGGGAGGAAGAGCTGGGATCACAGCAATGAAATGATAAAGAAAGAAGTTGAACCACAGCAGTGTAAATACGTCATTCACATGTTAGATCTCAGAAGAGAGAAGAAGGACAAAGCTAATGACAATGCAACAGCTGTCATGTTGTACACACGTAGCTTCTGTTAATGAATAAATAAAATCTGGTGCAGGTTACCAACCTTCTGTAAGAGGATCGAGCGGCTGTCACCACAGCCTGTGCTGCTGTTCCTCTAAACTACTAGATTAAGGTCTTTAAAGCAGGAGGTGTCGCATAGTTTAGTGCACGATAAAGCATGTGCAGCCACAGAGATGAAGAAATGAACAAAATGCAAAAGTGCCAAAACAGTAGTTGGTTCCAAAAGTGAGCCATGACTCCCCTGGCCTCTTTAAAGCCACTGATGGACCTATAATTTTGTCGCCTTGTTCTTGAGTTGGGTGTCCGTGCTGTCCGCCTGCCCACTCGCCCGGTGGGGTGACGACAACAGCCCATCAGCCTTTTATAGCTGAGTTGTGAAAACTAGATTAGCAAACAAAGTTCTGCACTGCAGGCTTAATGTTACTTAACATGGCAGCCCGGGCGAGGTGTCGTCACTGATTTCTACAACTGGTTCGATTCAGTTTAGGCTCAGACAGTCAAAAGTATTATGGATATGCACTGATAAATGATCATAATTATTATGTTTCTAACTATGTATAAAAACAAAGCGGACACTGTGAGACTTCAGAGGTGTGAACATCACAGCAGACGTGTTTGTGTCAAAGTAACTGAGGATCAAACATGAAGGAGATTTTCCTGGCCTGGCTTTTATAGCAGATGAGCCATGAATCAACATGCGAACATTACCTGACGCTGCTGAGAGTTTTACAATTTGGTATCCTTTTAAAAAGTTTGCATTTCTTTGGTACTGAACGCCAGAAATGAGGCTTTCTAGTCGGAGGTCAAATGGAAAAAGCCGCGTTGACAGCGCTGAACACAGCGGCAGACTGATGCGTAAAAAGCAGCGAATAATGCAGAAAACAGATTTTATGGTAAACTGGTCTCTGAGTACACTGAGAGAGAGAGCTGTGCAGGAAGTGTGAGTTTATCCTGGTGGAAGCGAAACAGCAAAAGTAAGAAGGAAATAAATGACAATGTCTTGAAAACACTTTTGATCTTGTTCTGCTGCTGGTTCAGTGAATTGTGGTCAGAGTGACGAAACCTGCAGCTTCAGAATCTGTCGGCGTTCAGCACACGACTGCGTTCACGTCTTTGATCGTTTGCTGCTTTAGCTGTTTGGTGGAACCAGTTTTGTGAGCTTTAAGCTGAGATTCTGGCGTTTCTGGCAAAATACATTTAAAAATCACTTCAGACTTGAAGTCGCTTTGTTTAAACTAAAATCGTTTGGAATCGGGAAATCGATTTTTTAAACCCACTTCTAGTCAGAGGCCCAAATCAGAGCTGCAGGAAATTAACTGTTAATTAAAATCTGGGTCCAAAACACACTTTCACCTTTCAGCTAATACTAGCAGCTCAGGTGTTGGAGAAATTGTACTTACTCCTGGACAAATGTTTTTACCGTTAACTTTTTTCCATGAAGGAATTCAATGTTTTGTGAAGACTGAATCAGAACAGCGTCATGCTGGCAGATAGATAATCAGAACTGGGCTGACTCAGCAGGACCCTGTTTTAAAGAGATGCCTTTTCAGGCTGAAACTGGAGGCTGCATGAAGAGGTTTCACAGAGTTTGTTATATATATAAAACCCTGGAAACATGCCTGCAGAGCACGAGAATCAATACACAGAGTTGGAAGCAGATTTCAGGGAGAAACAATTTTGAAACTGGTTAAAAGAAACATAACTGTGGTTTTAGAAAATCATTCAGTGTAATTGTAAGAGTTAATACTGTGCAGGGTGGAGGCCTAAAACTCAGAGAATCAGTTGCTCGAGTCCTGCCAGGAAGCTATTTACTTCCTTAGCCTGCCACGCTCTGGGTTATCATCTCTGGAGAACTCCTTGACCTATCTCAGGTTAAACGCTGCTGGTTCCTGCTCGGTCACTTCATCTTCTTGCCCCAGCAGCCAACAGAAACGTCGACTTAGAGAATCCCTCCAGAAACAGTAACGATCCAAAAACGATCGTATATAACCACAATCACTTTGGTGGCTGATACTGCATTGCTATCCTAGAGCTCTGCCTCTGGAATATTTACAGATTTAATCTGTAAATATTCTTGGAATAACAGAATATTACTTAAAATAACACTGAAATTAAAATTGTACTTCTAATGATATGATTGCCTTGTGTAAACTAAAGTATGACTTACATCTTTAACGCAAAAGGCAATTGTGTGAGTCAAATTACAGCTGCTTAAATTCAGTGACAGTTATGTGGACAGGTGGACAGGACAAAGGAGGAAGCAGCTCACAGGAAGACCAGCAGTAAAGACACAGCAGATTTCTCTAGTATTGGCTCCCTGTTAAATCCAGAATTCAGGCCCATCTTATCTTAATGACCTTGTAGTACCATATCACCCTATTAGAGCACTTCGCTCTCGCTCTGCAGGCCTACTTGTTGTTCCTAGAGTATTTAAAAGTAGAATGGGAGGCAGAGCCTTCAGTTTTCAGGCCCCTCTTCTGTGGAACCAGCTTCCAGTGTGGATTCAGAAGACAGACACTATCTCTACTTTCAAGATTAGGCTTCAAACTTTCCTTTTTGCTAAAGCATATAGTTAGGGCTGGACCAGGTGACCCTGAATCCTCCCTTAGTTATGCTGCAATAGACGTAGGCTGCCGGGGATTCCCATGATGCATTGAGTTTTTCCTTTCCAGTCACCTTCCTCACTCACTATGTATTAACAGACCTCTCTGCATTGAATCATATCTGTTATTAACCTCTGTCTCTCTTCCACAGCATGTCTTTATCCTGTCTTCCTTCTCTCACTCCAACCAATCACAGCAGATGGCCCCGGAGGTTTCTTCCTGTTAAAAGGGAGTTTTTCCTTCCCACTGTCACCAAAGTGCTCATAGGGGGTCATATGATTGTTGGGTTTTTCTCTGTATGTATTATTGTAGGGTCGACCTTACAGTATAAAGCTCCTTGCGGTGACTGTTGTTGTGACTTGATGCTGTGTAAATAAAACTGAGGCCAAGATTTCATGGTCTACATCAAAGACATCAATACTGATTTTGCCTGTGCTTGTGTAGGTCCTGTCTGCTCAAAGTAAAATGCTCAGATGGCCCAAGTCACTCAAAGCCAGTATGACATCAGACATGCAGTATCACACAGGGACTGAATACAACAGTAACAGGGAAATGTGTTTCTGTAAGTCAAGCTGTTATTACAGCTCGTGTAAACTGGTTTGATGAATTCGCCCTCTTTGGGGCCCAGCTGTAGCATCCAGTAAATACATCAATAAACTCTATCGCTGGTGCAGCTAAAGTTCAGCTTTAACAAAAAAAGCAAAGGATGAAGAGAGGAAAAGAAAAAAACTCGTGATAACAGTGACAAGAAGAGTTTTTAAAACAGTGTACAGTACCTTTAACTCTAATATCCGGATTGTGAGCTTTGAGAAGACAGGAAAAAGGAAGAAAAAAGACATAAATAAAGAGGATTTAGTTCAGATAGGAGGAAGCAAAGAAAAGAGATCTAACTGAAAGTGACCACGAAGAGCCAACAACGCTTATCAGGACCAATCCAGTTATTTTGTATTGATCGGTTACGATGTCAGGTGTGCTGTTTCCAAGCTGAGATATGAAATCACCCAGTTTCGTGAATCTGGAAGCAATTCTTTACATCTCTGCGTTTCTAACATGGATCAACATACGATGCAACTGTAGCGGTTACAGACGATTCCTACCAAGGAACGCTTAACTGATCATCACAGTCATAATCCAGTGTCTGCAGCAGCGATACAAGCAACAGCTGCTCTTTAGTCGACTGGCTCAGTCATGCTGATGTCTAATAAAAAAACAACCGTCTTCACTACTTGCTCAAGTCACTTAGCACATGCCCCGGTAGCTGCATTAGTGTTTTCTCTGAGACTCTCTGGATGTTTTCTGGTCCCTGTTTATTTTTGATCATGGATGCAGATGAAAGATCTTTGTTGCTTCAGTTCTTCTTGAGGACTACACTGATAACTTCCTGTGACTGTGTGCTGGATAGATATTTATAAGACCATAATCTTTCTGGATGTTATTAATTGCAGCGCTGAGCAGATCAAGTGCTGGTAACTAACACCAGCTACAAAAAAGCAGCTACCTAGAGCGATCCTAAGGGGAAATTCTGCTTTGAGCCCAGATTAAGATGTTTTACTGGAAAACAACAAACTAACACAAACATGTACATCCACATTATCAGAAGCATAATTTTCCCTGAGAGCAACCACAAAGATGAGAAACTGTGATAGGCTGGTTAACAATGGCACCGGGACCAATCAGTGAAAAGAGCTCATCTAAGATATCTGTAGTGTTGTTCAAGGCTGTGCGCTACTCTGCTGTGTCCAACTGGATTATTTACGTGTAGTTGTAATGCTAAGTTATGTTGTGTGTGTGTGATCCACTCACCAATGTTGCAGTGCTCCCCTGTCCATCCCTGGTCACACTCACACTTCCCGTCTTTACAAACTCCGTTCTTGCTGCACAGTGGGTGGCAGGCCTTTTGGTCACACACACTTCCAGTCCAGCCCTCCTCACAGCGGCATACGCCGCCGTAACACACTCCATGGCTGCCACAGTCCACTTCACACACCTCTGTAACAGTAACAAAGAGAAATTACTTCATCGACTGCAGAACCGATATAAGCACGTGCACGCACACTGATGCACTCTGTTCTCATTTCACCCGCAGCTGCGTCCTGGACTGCACCCTGTGCACGCCAAATGATGTCTTTACGTACAGTGAGGTTCAGGAAAAGCTCAGTACAGATTACTACAAGTCACTGTGTTAATTTGTGTGTTTGAGTGTTGCTTAAATCTCACTCTTGCACTGAAGGAGCTCAGAACGTCTTTATTTTCCTGAAGCTTGGGTTCGCAGCATGCTAGCCGCTCCTGCACAGCTACAGAAAAGTGTCTGCTCAGGGTGCAGCTTCCCGAGGGACATATGTGATCTTTGACCCTGTTGTATACCTGTGTGCATTGGAGATGGATGCCGTGCATCCCGTTCTTGTTTTTTAAAGCTGTTAAAGATGTATGCTGTGCACCACAATCATTGTACTCTGGATAAAGAAAAAAGTGACTTGTTGTAATTTGGTGCTATATAAATAAACTGGATAGAAATGAATTAAATGTGATTGCCACATGTGTATCGTGTGTATGAATATTATTGCATCATTTGCTGCAATTGTAGAGAAAAACATGTGGAAAATGTTGACGGTGAGCATTTTGTAGGTAACACTACTGTGTGGTAAGTTCTGTTAAAGAGTTAACAACATTTTCATGCAACATGCTGATTTCTGTAGTACAGGCCAATACTAAGTGATGACAGTCTGACTTTATTTCTCTTTTGGAGTTTGAAAAATAAAATGAAACTTTTTTATTTACCTTAAATCTTCTTGGTTGCATTGCGTCCAGTACTGCAGCGTTCAGGGCACCTCTAACACTGTCGTCTCAAGTAGCTTCTAATTTGTAACTGATTTGGGTTTTTTATGGCGGTCACTTCACTTCTAAATCCCCTCATAACACATCTGTACAGTATTCTGGTTTTACACATGCTTCAACAGAAGGTTTCATTCTGAGAAATAAGAAAATGAAATGCGGACATAGACAGGTAAACAGTGCACACACCTAAAGAGCAGTCAGCTCCAGTCCAGTTCTGGTCGCAGGCACATGTGCTGGTCTCTGCATTGTAGGTGCCATGGCCTGAACACTGGTCTGGACACATGGCCTTGGTAATTTCACAGCTGGCTCCGCCCCAGCCTGGCTGACAGTGACATTCGCCATGAATACACACCCCATGGGCCGAACAGCTGGGGTCAATGCAGTCCACTGGAGGCAGAGAGGAAATTATCAGCACACCAAACAGTACATACAGGACACATGCACACGTTCACGCATCAGCTTTACTGTTGAACTCTTGAGGGCAGTTATCTGGAGCCAGATGCTTAAACTCTTCAACCTTAATTACAAACAGCTTTACATACACTTGTGCATTTCCTCTTTCCTGACTCTAAGTCATGAATGGATGTTTGGCTTCTTTCATTACATGCAACCAGACCCCAGACCAGTAAACACCACTGCACAGTATATTTGAGGTGTTTTTGGATAACCGCTCAGCACTGCTCACACATCCACCGCTTTGATCATCGACTCAGTGCAAACACAAAAGAATATTACGAGTCGTTTTGTTGGGGTAAACCTACACGGCATCTTTCACATAACTTCTCAGATTAGCAGCTGTAAATAGGATTAACACACACACACACACACACACACACACACACACACACACACACACACACACACACACACACACACACACAGTCTGTCTCTTTCCGACTGATGACTGAACCCATCTGAAAGTAATGTGATTACTGTCCGCTGTGATATGCATTTTCATATTTGTAGCATTGTGTCTGCATTTACCCACAATGTGAGTCACAGATGATCACTTCCCTCAGCACTGCTGTATGCCTGTGCAGGTCATTACTGATTACAGTTTTTTACAGCCGCTAGGACACATGTCTCAATACTTAGGTCACTTTTGCAAAACTCTTC